GGAGGGGGGGAGGGGGGGTGGGCAAACCTCCTAGAAACAACACTTTGAAGTTCTAACCCTGGTTCACAGATTTTGATGCAGTGTACAGGAATTTGGGTTTGAGGATGAACAGTTCATTCGCTAGGATGTGGTGGAGGGTAGGGTTGAGCTTGTGGATCAAGGGCTAAGGTTCAGATATATGGGCCAGCACTGACAATAGTGACCGTTACAATCTCAAGAATCTCGAAGTACTTCCATCCATCATTTCACTTACAGACGATTGAGATGAGAGCACATTTGATTGCAACTCCACACTAAATCGGAACTGAAAAAAGTTCAAAAAACACTACTTCCAAAAAACTTGAAAAAGATGATATAGCCAGGAAAAAGGTGACTTAGAATTGAGTGTCCTGCCTCCCTGAGCAACATGCAACAATCGGCTCAAGAAACCGTCCAGTGAACAGCAGTTCTCACTGGCTATGGCTGCAGGACAACGCAGGTACTCCTAAAAAAGATGATATAACCAGGAAAAAGGTGACATAGAATTGAGTGTCCTGCCTCCCTGAGCAACATGCAACAATCGGCTCAACAAACCGTCCAGTGAACAGCAAGTTCTCACTGGCTATGGCTGCAGGACAACGCAGGCCAGTGCCGGAGGACAAGGCGAACCGGAAAATGATCCCAGAGAGTCTAAGTACATCGAAAAATTTGACAAAAAGTGCCTCGTACTCATAACACAGACCTCAGAAATAACAGACTGCCAACATTCATAGCCAAATTATCACTACCCGCCCTTCCTCCCTCCTAAGGATCAACACAAGACTGGCCACGGCAATCTTCCCCCAAAGCTTCCACTCAGCAGTCATACCAATGGCGTAGGATCAGTTGGATGTGCCAAGTCCGGCCACGTACAATCCCACGCAGCAGTTTGCATGCCTCGACTAGATCATCCGTGTCGTAACCGAGCTCTTCAGGAGACTTGCACCCATGGAAGAATGCCTCTGCTCAAAAAGAAAGGAGGCCTAGAGCCTTCCCTACGGATGACCGTATAGGCGAATATCACAGACAGGAGCTTGCTGCCACGTGACCCGACTTCATCAAGTTATCTGGCCTGTCGGAAACATCCAGGAGGGAGGCAGTGTTGGCCCATCTGAGAGTGAGTGTAAGGCGTTTGAGGCGGACCGCTGATGGAGAGCTGTATGATGGGAAACTGTCATGTACGGTTAGGAGGGCAGAGACTCACCTCTGACCCCTACCCATATTAGGTTTTGCTTTAACTGAAGCTATTGCTTCATTCACCTTTTTTTTTTTTTTTTTTTTTAACAGAACCTTACGATTCTGACTCCTTTTCCATTCTGGGGAGCATCAGTCCGGTTCCTATTCCACCGGCAAGTCAAAAGAGAATCAAGAGATACACATAGGACTCACACACACTCTTCCCCTTTATGGTAGGAAAGCCCGAGGGACGGCATTGATTACTTCTCGCTGGAAGGATGTACCACCCCTCACCCCTGCCTAAGTTAGCCTAATTACTTTTATTCTGACTCCTAGACATGGAACGAACTTTGTAATGTGGATTCTGTACACTTGCTTGAGAGAGGACTTGTCTAACCTGCTCCTCTCAGTTACTTGACTGTCTGATTTCCATTAAAAGCAAGAGCTGTGGATTTGATCATCCTCATTGGGTCTTGAGAACCTTGAAATCTCCCAGGACTAGTTGCTGGTGCCTGTGGCTGAGACTAAGATCTGTCTTCCTACCTTTGTCATTCTGCAGAGATACCTGGGTCTAACACCTAGACCCTAGCTTGTTTAGCTGACCTGCTAAAGCCTTTCATTTAAGGTCCCTACTTAAGATCCGTATCCTGTAACCTAAGTTTATTATCGCGTTAACTGGATGGTAGAGTTTCTTTGGGAACTATTTGTCAGGTGGAAACCGATACTGTTTTTGTTGGTTTGAGGAAAGAACGTGCAGGGTGTTTGTCCGTGTAGGTTTTGGAATTGGATGGCTGTTGTGTTTGGGTGTGTGGTGGTGTTGCTAAGGGGTAAGGGTTGGGAGCCGGGTGGTTTCTGTGGAGGTAATGGGGTTAGGGAGGTGCGGGAGGGAATGATGAGTGTGAGGGGTTTGAGGGGGGATTGGGGAAAGGGATTTTGATCAGAATATTGTAATGACCCGTCAAAACACAGACTGAGAACACTGCGGATTTCTGAAGTTCTGCCGATGGAATGGATGCCTTGCTGAGATTCCCGCATTCTGCTGTGTTTTCTAAGTCTGTCTGTGTGTGCGTGCTTGTACCCTGCGTGCCTGTCTGAGTGCTTGTCGGTATGAGTGTGTGTGTGTGACCCGCAAGGGTACTTGCTTGTTTGGTGGGCCCGTAGGGCCGGTACTTACCTGTGGCCGTGGCATTGAGGGTTGCAGCAGGGAAAACACTCAAGTAGCGGAGCCAGGGGCCCGCGGTGCTTAGAGCAGCGGAAAAACACTCAAGTAGCAGGTAGGCCGGTACCGCACCGAGTAGCGGTAGATGTGCCGGGTACTCGAGGCCGAGCAGAAAAAGACAAAGTTGGCATTTTTAGAGGCCCAGTAGCGGTAGGCTAGGTCTAGGCCGGTACCAGTCCATCCAGTCTGAGTCTGGAGCCTGTACGGGCAATAGCAGAGTCTGCAATGATGTTTCCCTCCAAAAGGGAGGAGGTACCGGTTGCTTGGGAGGCCGAGCGGCCTGGAAGTCACCGCCCAAGAGGCAAGCAGGACGCTATATCAAGAGGCTGAGGCAAGAGCTCGGCCTCATTCTTCAGTGTGCAAGTTTGGCGACACGCTGCTGGAGCGCTGGCTGGAGTGGCGCTGGGTACTACAGCGCTGCTGGGAGGAAGCCGGGAGCTTCCACCTTGGCTATGGTGGAGCTCTACCGGTAGGAGGAGGAGGGAGAAGGGGACCAAGGAGGAGAGTGGTGGGGTACTTACCTGGCTATGGCAGACACCATCTTCATCACCTTGTTAGGCGCTGCATCTGGAAGGCCCCAGTGGGGGTAGTGCCAGGAAGCTCGGGGCAGAGTCAGGCATGGCGGTTGAGTGGGCAGCGGCATAGCGGCATGGTGATGACCTTGAAGTGGGGCAGCGACATAGCTGCTTTGGGTTGTCCTTTGGACAGGAGGCTGAAGCCTCAGTAGTCCGCCATAGCCTTGGCCTGTATGTAGAGAAAGAGGAAGGGTGGCCATGGCTATGGTGGACCTCATGTTATGCCTGCAGTAGAAGTGGGATTCGGACATTGATTGTGGCTCAGTCATTCAACATTATTATTGTTATTTCTTGTTTGAATAAGAAGGGAGGAGATAAGGAGGAAGAGATTGGTTGGCGAAGAAGAAGAGCCTTGCCATTGGTCTATGCTGGAGTACATCATCTTCTTCTTCTTTCTTACTTCTTCTTCTTCTTCTTTCCCTCTCTCTCCTCTCAAGTTCATTCATTTCTTTTTGCAATTGGATGGCATTGTACTTTCAGATGAATGTATACTTCGAAATTGGCCAGGATGGTAACATTGGTATCGGAGCGGATTCTACTTGCTGGCGAGAGTTGACTTCGCTGCTATAACCCTAACCCTAGTGGTAAGGGCTAAGCACTTAGGGTTAGGGCTGGAAGTTAGGGTTAAGTGGGGCAGCGTGGTGAAGGGAAGCTGCTCCCACCTGGCAGGGCCGTTTAGGGTCGACACTAGACCCCGCCAGGTTGCTTGAGTGCATGTTTGTGGTGGCGAGACACAAGGTGGGACTTCGTGATGCAACTTGAGAGAGGCGACAGTGAAGGGCACCTACAACTTGAATCTGGACTTCAAGGAAGACGAGGAGTGACTTTAGGGCTCCCCTCAAGTTAGGCGAGCTTGAGGGTGGCAGCCATATCTGCACCTACGGACTGCAAGTTGCTGCTTTTTTTTATCTTCAACATCGACGGGGGATCCGGCTTTGTACTTTGGGGTAGATGTTGACCCTCCTAGATGATAGGACATAGAGGATGCTAATTGGGTCAGGAGGACTATGTGAGAGGGGGGTGAGTTCTTTCATCTCAAGAGCCCGGCCCCTCAGGTAAGTGTCGTGCCGCCAGTGTGCCCACGTGTGTGTGCATGGAATTGACTGCCTGTTGGGGTTTTCTGGGTTCTTCTTCCATCCTCCATAGTCTTGATAGTGTGTGAGGTGTGTGAACTGCCTACTCACCTGACGAGTGAATGAATGGAGTATCTTGCTTGCCATGCTATATCTTTCTACAGTGCTTTGTTTATTTCATTCTACACGGCTGTAGTCTGTAGGTTCTTTCTGGGGCAAATTTTCATTTTTCAATTCGGTAGGGACAGAGTAGGTCTTTGTGGAACTCTTGTTGGTTGGG